AAGTTGCGAGATGAGCAGGGACATGCAGCCCAGCCCCCCTTGGACCGCAGCTTTTGCATTACTCGTTCTTCGCCCAGCGCGAGAATTGAAGCGGCCCCTGGTCATGCTCATGGCGAATTCCAGGGCAAGCACGGCCCAGCGGTCCGTCTTGCGGTCGGACGCGATGCAGTCGTCGCAGATGAACGACACCCAGTCCAGCGCGAGTTTGGTCAGCTTGAGGTTGTTCATCTGTTTCCTGTTGCTGTCCATGTAGAGAAGGGACCGCTGACCAAACTCGGTCGCGAAGATGAAGCATGTCTGGATGAGCTCCTGGCAGTCCTTGCCCACTGTCTGCTTGCGAATCGTCTCCACGCTGTCCATGAAGTTGTTGGACAGCTTGTAGGCGACGCGGCGAATCTCCATCAACCTCGTGTTGACTTTGTGAAGATTGGACCGCGACTCGACAACGAGATCGACATGCATGTCGACAGACTCGAGGAACGCTCTCCGCGCACTGGCCAGACGTGCCTCTGTGCCAGCAGCGACGAGGCGCACATGGCCCTTTTTGAGGTCAATGTTCCGCTCCCGGACAGCCAAGGGAACGACATCACCGAACCAGTGAGGCGGGTCTTCCGGTCGGAGGATCAGCAGATACGGGTCGCTGCCATCGTCGAGGAACTGGTCGGCCGAAGTGAATCCGAGTATCGACTGGATGTCCTCCTGTCGCTCAGCCAGGGAGGAGGAAGCGATGATGAAGATGCCCTCCTGCTCGTACAGGTCGGTAAACACTTGGACGTGGCCAGACGTGATGAGTCTGTCGTAAAACTCGCGCAGCTTGTCTGGTGTGTATGCTATGCTGAAGTCGGACGCATTCTCGTAGTTGTCGCTCAACATTCTCGAGAACCGTTGCAGCATGCGCTGACGCACCCGCACCGAGTCGAGACATTGCTTGTATCGCTTGCTCATCTCGGCCACGGTTTCCCTCGGCTTGACCTGCAGCTCTCTCTCAAAGGTGATGCTCAGTCGGTTGAGGGCTTTGAAGGTCAGAGAGCTGAACTGCTCGGCGACTTCGACATTGCCACCCTGCAGGTGGCTTCCGATCTCGTTGCCGAAGCCCCACTCCGCGAACAGCAGCTCGGCCTCCTTGAACGTGTTCTTGTTGCCGCTCAGCTTCCAGTTGAGCATCTTGAAGTAATATTTCAGGGCATCCAAGACGACCTGATCAAACGAGTCATCGATCATGGGAGGAAGGTCCCAGCCGGGTTCTGGCTGGGCGATGGCCAGGTATTCGAGCTTGATGCGGATGGCCAGCTGGAGCAGCGTCTGGAACTGCGAGATCATCTGGTCCTGCATCAGCGAGTTCTGCTGCGCCGACTCCTTCACCTTCTTGGCGTAGGCGAGTCGCATCTTGATGATCTCCTCGATGAGGCGGGACGGGAAGCTGATGAGGGTCAGAAGCTCCTCGATGTACGGCGGAAGGTGGCGTTTCTGGAAAGCGGCAAAGTTCCGGATCAGCGTCTCCTTCGACTTGTTGATGACGGTGGAGATGCCGGCGAGCATGCCTTTCTGGACGACCTTGTGCTTGTCGTCGTTGCGGTCCTCGTCGTAGAGCGACTTGAGGCCGTCTTCCTTCATGAGTCGGTCGAGGAACGAGGTCTCGTCGGGGATGCCGTTGCCGACGGGAGAGCGCTGGCGTGTCCGAGAAAAGTCCAGGTCATCGTTGCCCACCCACTTTTTGAGAATGGCGAGCTCAATGGCGATGAGTTCGTTCGTGTTGTGCCACGAGACGATGGACTCGTAGGCCTCCTCGAACAGAGGCGACTTGGCCGAACTGTGTTCGGCCACGAGGGCGGACCAGGACGGATAGAGGCTCTCGCACTTGTCGATCCTCTCGACAATGTCTTTGACCTGTTCGTGCGGTGGCTTTCCGACCTCGCTCTCGCCCTTGACGGAGAAGTTGATGATGTCGTCGAGTGTGCGGCCGAGGGCGCCGCGTGCCTCTTCGACCATTCGCTTCTGGACAGAAAGGTGGCGGCCGCAGACCTTGGACCGGATGCCCAGCCACAGCTCGTTCTTCTGGGCCGACTCGCCGACGGCCGGCTCGCCAGAGCCGATCAAGCGCTTCTTCTCCTGGCGCACGACGTCGCCGGTGAGGACGGCCTCCAACATGCCGTACCACTCGAGTCGCTCACGGTTTGCGGGGTCCTTGACGTCCTCGTCGGTGGGTTGCAGGTCGTCGTTGCCGTAGAACATGATGGTCTCCTGCTCATATCGATCTTCGTAGGGCCCTTCGGACGAGGGCGTCTCGCCTTCCGAGTCGGAATCGCCCTGGTTCATGCCGTTGGTGTAGCCGTCGAAGGGATAGCCGTCGCCGTAGTCTTGCCTCAGACGCTGCACGTAGGCTCTCTCCTGCTGGCGGAAGCGCTCGCTCGGACGGGGCCGTGAGCGAGAGCTGCGGACCGACTCGGTGAATGACGGCGCCGGTTGGGGCCGCCTCTGGGGCGCATATGTGCTCGAAGGTGTTCTCGCAGGACCGCCGGGCCTGATGCTGGATTTGAGGGAGCTGCCGTTGACGGCAACGTAATGGCCGCCGTTGAGGTCCCCCGTCGACGACCGCATGCTTCTGCTGGTCCCATTGGTGAGGGCCGTCTGGACGAGAGAGGTCATGGAGCCGGCGTGGACCGGGTCGTATACGGAGAGGGCTGGCAGTTCGTCGTGGCGTTCGGCGGCGTGAGGATCATCGTTGGGGGATTCGGCGGAGGAAAGGGAATTGCTGGACTCGAGGACTGCGATGGTGGAGGATCGTGGTGACTTCATGAGCTCGGCGCGTGCGTCTTCCTCGCCGTTGGAGAAGCGCACATTGCGGGGGGAGTGCTCGGACGGCATGCCGGCTGCTTCTGATGTGGAAGAGAAGGAGACGGACGAGGGCGATGAAGAAGAGGTGAGCAGGCAGCCTGCGTCGGCAAGCAAAAAGACACTTGTCGATGGGCCAGTGTGCGTGGGTTGCGTGATCGAAAGCCAGCAGGCGAAAGAATCCGGGGCCCGGGGGGGGGGGGCGTCGAGGCAGGCAACTCGGGATTCGTGATGGGCGTCCCAAGTCGAGTCAGGATGGCCGGAAGCGGGTTTGTTGTAGGGCGACAAGACTTTGGTAGCAGCGAGTCGCGCGGGGTCGGGCGGCCGACGAGTGGGATGAGCCCAGATTAAAGCCCAGCCATGTGTATGGACTGAGCGTGTAAAAAGGTCCTGAAAAAAGAAACGACGAACTGTTGGCGATGGGTCGAATGGGGAAGGGGGGGGGAAGGACAGGCACGAAGGCGGACGACGTGTAGAAAGGGACAAAATCGAGGATCACGAACAGTTGACAGCGGCAGGGCCACACCAGTATCAGTGACAGGACTTTTCGCGGCAAGGCCAGGTGAGACAAGGCAAGGCAAGGCCAGGCCAGGCAAGGCAAGGTGAAATTTGGGCGTCGAGGGTCGCAGACGTGCAGGGGGGAGGGGGGAGGGGAGCAGACACCCCAGGAGGGTCGTGCCACGTTTCGATTGGCTGGTCAGGCTAGCTCTCCCCGGCTCAGTGGCATCGTTGTAGTGGACGACGCCCCGAGGGCCCTACGACCGTCTCCCAGGTCCCCTACATGGACCGCCTGGAAGTGGGAGCTCTTGAGGGCCTTGGGGGCCTTGAGGAGCCTTGGGGGGCTGCTCGCTCTGGGATCTGGGAGACAAGAACGCGGCACGAGTGGGTCGGCGATGGGCAGCTGCTTCTCCTGCTTTCTCCTAGGAACCCCCGCCGACGTCGAGATCGCCGTGGCAGGCTGTCATCGAGGTTTGGGTGCACGCGCCACCTGTGGGCATTGGCTGCACCCTGCACCGCCAGCACCCTGAACGAGATGAGCCACGCGTGGCGAGGGAACACGCATGCATGCCGCCTGCTGGCGCCCTGCATACCTACTTACTAGGTTCCTTGGGAAATCCCACATCAGTCGTGTTTCCTCCGACAAGTTCTTTTCCTTTGCCTGTCTGCCGCTGCTCCAACAAGACAGGTTTGTGGTGTCGCGGCGATCGGGCTTTTCTTTCCTTCGCCTCTGTTCCCGTCACATGATGATGATGAAGATGCCGGGGATCGATCTCGATGTCGTCTGGCGGACCTTATCGATCGCCCCGGTTGTTTCGACATACGAGCACCTGGGCTTCGGGTTTCTGTAATATCCATGGCCAGCCGGGGGCGCGTGTCTCGTCTGTCTGTGGCTGATATGGAAAGCCCAACAACATCGGACGTGTGGTCTGTACCTTAAGGTACCTACCTACCTAGGTAGTCTGTAGTCGGTGGGCCGAGCATGGAGTGGAGTAGATAAGATAAGATAAGATCTGAAATAATTTTGGTGCATCGGCCCACTGGAAGGAACCTCGCATCATGTCGTCCCATCAGCGGAAGGAAGGTCGACGCCTGCCTCACCGTTTGCAGCCTCCTTCTTCGCTCACCCTCTCGCCCACCTTCTGGCTCTGTCCACGCGCATCTGGTGCCGCCAATTGATCCCAGAAATGAAACGCAAGGCTGACGCACAGGCCGACAAGAAGGCCTCCAAAAAGAAGAGGAGCAAGTCTGGTATGTTGCGGTCTGCCCCCCACCTTGATGAGCGCAAGAACGAGCTCCCAAGGACATCCATCGTCCATCGTCCATTGTCCATCACCACAACCATGGCAGCCAACTCTCTGCTGACACGAAAAATGCAGTCCTCTCGGCCGCTGACGCCAAGTCGCGCTTCCGCGATGGCCTCTTTGACCAAGAGGTCCTCCAGGCCTACACCGACGAGTATGCCACCTCGAGCCCGTATAAACATGCCGTGATCCACAAGCTCGCCGACGACAAGCTCCTGCGCAGCGTCCGCGACGAGATTCGCGAAAACGTCTCCTTCACGCCCAAGGAGACGGACATTTACAAGATCCACCAGTCGGGCGACCTCGCCAACCTCGACGGCCTCGACAACGACGCCCTCGCCAAGCTGCCGTCGCTGCTGGCCCTCCGCGACGCCATGTACTCCGAGACGTTCCGCCACTACGTCTCCCACATCACCGGCTGCGGGCCCCTGAGCGGCCGCAAGACGGACATGGCCATCAACGTCTACACGCCCGGCTGCTACCTGCTCTGCCACGACGACGTCATCGGCTCCCGCAAGGTCAGCTACATCCTCTACCTCACCGACCCCGACGTGCCCTGGAAGCCCGAGTGGGGCGGCGCCCTGCGCCTCTACCCCGTCGACGAGAAGGAGGGCGCCGGCGGCGAGGTCGCCAAGACGCCCGCGCCCGAGTTCGCCAAGGTCATCCCGCCCGCCTGGAACCAGCTGTCCTTCTTCGCCGTCCAGCCGGGCGAGTCCTTCCACGACGTCGAGGAGGTCTACCACGCCGCCTCGCCCGCCGAACTCGCGCGCCAGGGCGGCCGCGTGCGCATGGCCATCAGCGGTTGGTTCCACATCCCCCAGCCCGGCGAGGACGGCTACGTGCCCGGCGCCGAGGCCAAGCTCGCCGCCAACTCGGGCCTCATGCAGCTTCCAGGGCAACCCCGACCAGCACGA